CTTTCATTAATTAGTTTGGGGAGGGCACTCAATCTTTGTGTCCTTGCACATGATCAGATGGCTGATTTGTACGAAAATGAATTAAGGAGGTAAATGAAAATATTTTATAACACCGCTTTTATATTAACATAATTCAATTATTATACATTTTGAACACAAAATGACAAGTCATCGTTAAACTCTGACTGTTTGTCGTGTACACTTTCAACACCATCTAAACAACAGGGGGTTTCATCACACGAATGTAGACTGTGACCTACAGACAGTAATTTAGTTAAGTTACTCAGTTTTTAGTTGTTGTTGTTGTTGCTTTGCTCCTAACTGTTTTATGTATACACAAAGCTTCTAGTTTTATAAAATACAGTGTCCATAGTTGATATTATTTTACCACAAAGTAAACGAATACTTTATCATAATAAACAGCTATATATATATATTTTTAAATCTGAAGAGTTTGTTTGTTCTATTGTTTGGCACAACGCTGCACCATGGGCTATCTGTGATGTGTCCAGCATAAGTATCGAAACCTGGTGTTGAATGTTATAAGCCTACAGACTTAACGCTGAACAAATTGGAGAGAAACTGGTAGTGTCAGAACAATATTTGTTTACCTTGGCTCGTTAAATGACGGAACAACTGTTGCCATTTTAATACTACAAAATAACAATGATTTGGATCATAAAGTAATAATTCATTTCAAAAAGGTTCATAGATTATATTTTACCTCATCATTACAACGATGGTGATTCATATAATCTTAGAAGAATTAGCCTTTTCTAATTCTCTTATAGTATATACCCATAGATTAAATGTTTGAAATTACATTTCATCCAATTTCAGCTATTTAAAGAATTAAATGGAGTTTATAAAATTATCCTGTTACTTCTATCAATGTATTATTTTTCAAACTATCTTTCTGATAGTACGTTCAAATTATACTGACATTAAAAGAAATAACAAATTAGCAAAGTATTTGACCAGTTTTCTTATCGTGAAAAAATAAAAGCTTGACCAAGTATCTAAAATAATCGAGTTTTCGCGATATCTTGTACTATACTGATGTATTACATTTTTCAAAAGCAAGCTAATTCCGTTGTATTTATAAATAAGAATTTATAAAAATCTTCTAAAAATTATCCTAGTTATGATAGATTTACTTTGTTAATCTCGTGATTCTTCAAAATAATAGGATGTATCTAAAGTCATTTTGAAATGTAGTTTCTTTTTCATAGCAACAATATACCACTTAATTCAATTATAAAATACATTTTTATGGTCATGTAACACCTAGTGATTATATATTAAAATAAAGCAATGATTATGTGTACTTATGATAAATAAATGTTGAATAAACAATTTAAAATACTGCCTTCCAGAAGTTTTTGTAGTCTAACCGAACATAAAAAGTGAAAATACAAGTGGACACTCATATATGAATAAACCTAAGCATTATCATCTATGTTCATGAAGATTGGTTGCTAAGGAAATATTACTTTCAAAACATATTAAGAACAAACTGTATTACTTGAACTTTTAACATAATACATAAAACCGAATATAAAAAGCAAATGTTATAACTATATTTTAATTAATGTGAGGTTAAATACAGCCAAAAACTACTTAATAAAATCTAATTACACGGTTCTGTATAAGTTTGGAGCTGTTGTTAGTAAATATATTAGATAAATAAAAATACAAAATTCTGAGATGAACCTACGACTTCTTCCATACCTTGATATTTATGAACAGGGTTTATTGACAGCCCCATCATGTCTTGAAGCATACCAATCTACAAGCCACGAAAACCAGGATTAAAATCATATGGTGTAGACATCTCAACAAAGACCACAGATAAACTAAGCCCCAACCGAGTGACTAGAGAGGCGGATAATTCTTAATACGATAAAACTTAGTTTTTCCACAAAGGCTTAACTGCACAAGCGCTTTTCCTTATGCTCTCATCTTCTATTTTCTAATATCGCATGTTTTCTTTTAAATAACTTTGCCTTGCTTTGTAATTTAATAAAACATCAACTTACAAGGCACTTAGAATAATTATATTGAAAACCCACCCTTTTAATTATATTTAATTGCAAAAAGTTGTCTTATCATAAATATATAAATTCACTACTCAATAATAATAATAATACCGCTCAACAAGACAGGAAAATAAAGCTTTAGAGCAATAATCGAATAAGGAGAACCACTAATTAAGAGTAAAGGGGAATTAACAGCATAATACGTAACAATGATGCAATTTCATTATAATGGTAAAAATTCTAGAAAATAACGAGAATTATTTTCAAACATTTGCTAAATTAAGTGGGTATAGGCCAAAACTGGATAACCATAAAATATAAATTTCAGTAACATAATCAACTTCAATTTAAAATATATATATATCTCTTTATTCAAGGAAGAATCATATATTTCCGAATTTGATGAAACCATTGTTTGATAATTGCCTGCTCTCCTACATTACACTTTATATTCTTTTGTTTTTTCTGATCAGACAAGCTGCAGAGTAAGATCTGTTATTGCTGATTTTTTTATAGACTGATAATTTGTAATTTCATACATAATAGACCAGGATTTTTATGTGAACTAAAAATCAACCTGAATATTACTCATTAGAATGACTTATAATAATATGAAATTATATTTATAATAACGATCAAAACTAGCAAGTATATGTTGTATTTATTGGCAAAGTATTCTTTATTAACAGAATTAAAGTAAAGCATACCTTATCTATGTTTCCATAAATAAGGTATGCTAAGATCATGACATCTTTATCAGGAGGTAACGTTAGGAAAGCTTAGAGATATTTCTTCCAACATCATTAATTCTCTTTACTTTCCAGCTTTCGTGATTTTAGCATTTGCCCTGTAAATATAATTTTCAGAATGTCTTATACAATTACATAAATTCAGTACGTAAAACTGTTAGGTCAGATTACTGTTCTATTTTGTTTTAGATATTTAGACAGAGCGAAGTTGAATCTTTTGTTCAATAATGCTTCAAGTAACTTGAATTAATAAAACTTCTTGTATAGAGTAGTTGCTCATTTCTAATAAGACTATTATTATTACTTCGTAATCCTAATCTCAGCATAACGCCACGTGATTTTAGTATACGTTTGTCTTTTCCCGGAATTTGATCATAATTATAAAAATCAGTTATTTTATATATACGTCGATTTGAATTTCAAATAATTATGTTTGACAAAATAATAAAAATCGTATATCTAGAATACCCATCTTAAGATAAAGATAATTTTGGTGAATAACAATACTGGATTATATATATATATATATATGTGTGTGTGTGTGTGTGTGTGTGTGTGTGCCATTTCCTTTTAGATATCTTCTATGAGGTTGATGTGTGATATCATTAACTTTCACGTTTTTCTCATAAGTAGTTATACTGTGGGATAAAAGATGTTTACGCGATCTGTAAAATTATGTAAATAACGTTATTGGAAACAGCTGTAAATCAACATAAGCTATTTTGCATAACTACATTTTAAAAATTAAGTAGTTTCAGATTTGTTATGACATAGAATATAATTTGTTTTAGGTTGATCAGATAGGTTTAGCACCCGTGTTTTATTATGCTTTGTTTTTGATAAAGTGACAGTTAATGAGTCACATCATCGACCCGGCCGGCCTGATATTCCCAATACGTGCGCATTCGCCATGTGTAAGAGCTCTGGATGTTAGAACTGGTCAAAATCAGTGTGATATCACAAAATATTTCTCACACTTTTATCTGTGGATGAGTTATTAGAGTGACAGTCAATCCCTTAGCGTGGATGGAGGATGGTCGGTGCTGCTGACTAGCTTCCTTCTCTCTGGTAAGTAGTTCAAAATTAAGGACGACGACAGATGGCCTTAGTAGTTTTCCATAAATACGAAAACCAAATGTAGCTGTTGACAAAGACTGTTTCACACTACAACCTACATAAGCTTTAAAGTTGAAGAAAATGCGAGTAACAGATCTACTTGTAGAGTCGTCTTGTAAATAAAAAGGTATACAATTTAATTTCTAAAAAATATGTACCCAAACGAACCATTTCCTATTTGAGAGTCTATCCAATTCGTCACTGTTTGTTTGTTATTAAGGACAAAGCTACACAAAGGGCTATCTGTGCTCTGCCCACCAAGGATATCGAAACCCGGTTTCTAGCATTATAAGTCCGCAGACATACCACTGTGCCACTAGAGGGCCAACTCATTATTTCTTCCATTATATTTTATTTACCGTAAATACTTTTAAAAATTGTATATTAACTAATTAATGATAACTGATGCTACAGAGAGTAATGGTTCGTTAATAGTTTGTTCTTTCTTGAGATCCAGCTAATTGTAAGAAAAATTGTCCCTTACGCAAATTTTAATTGTTTATCAAATTATAATGTATGTTTAATACATTTTATACGTTTTAAGAGTAATAATCAAGTAGCGCAAACTTCTACTTAAATAACCTGAGCGTTTGTTCGATGAAAAGCATTCATTCAAGAACAGTGCTGATATTGTTTTTTTTTTCTAAATTCATTAATTAACTGTGTGTGATTCCTATAAGTTTCAGAGTTTGAAATACACTGTTATTACTACGGTGATTCTCATTATGTTAGGCTAATCCCACTTCCCATTGTTACCTGTTTGGAAATAAAGATTTGTGCATGGTCATTTGTGCATCACCGACTCATGGTTGACAAAAAGTGATTTTGAATTACGGACTTCTATTTGCTTGACAGAAACAAGATAATTGCTCCTGTTGAGAGATTGAATACATAGAGAAAACCTATGATACCTTACATTACTATTGTCTTAATAAATCCCTTAGCATTAGCCAAACCTGCCTCTAGGGGGACAAGTGGGAAGCTCGCCAGATGACAATCGCCGCACCCATCGAGGCTCGCGTCTTGATCACGTGACGAATACACGTGACTTAACTTCCATCTGCCGGCACCTTCCTCAGCAGTTCGGTTTCGTCCCGCACGCGATACTAGACTACACAGCAGATGCATTGCGTATTAGAACAATTGTCCTTCAGTTGCGATCAACCAGTGTCACAATCCTCATAGATTCATCAGTGTTAGTTGAGTTAGGAAGTGTACGTAAACTCCAATGGGGTTTAGGTCGGTTTCCAAATTCAAGGATCGTTAACTCGAAAGACTTATGTAAATAAAGTTAAAACAAATAACAGACCGTTATACGTATGAACTTAGTGAATGAACTCTTTGAAATTAAAATAATATAATCAAAATGCTAATGTTGCAGAACTCGTTTTATAGAGCTGTTCTCTCATCATCAACACGTGAGGCAGTCTACCTAGTACCTTCTCAACGATCTGATTGTCAAGCTTGGCTTCGAGGATTAATAGCCTGGATACTGACGGGTAGGTGCTAATGATAAGAGATATAAAAAATGCTGATTTCGTAAAAGCCTCTTACAGTATCTAAAAATTAAAAGTAACCTAACATATTTGAAAGCTTAGGTGCTGTTACTTCAATAAACTTCTGTAAATAACCCACCAAGGCAAATTTCAATTAGCTATCATAATGCATGATACTAGAGGTTATAAATGGTCACCACATTCCATATTTATAGAATGTTTTCAATCTGGTTCTAATTTTTGAACATGAAAGATTAAGTTATTATATTATTATTATTACCTAATTCACAGAGTGACAATGAACCAGCAAGCATGAATCTATTATGTTGAGGTTTACTTATATATTACAACATTGAAACTTTAATTGAGAAATGAACACGTATTTTCTAACAGCAATAGAGATTAAATTATTGACTTGTGAATCAAACGTGCAATAGGAACAAAAATTATTATTGCTTTAACGAAGTGTATTATTTATAATATAATATAATTAAGATTACGTACAAACTTTAGTCACTTTTTTCGTACCTCTAATAACTAATAAATGATTGGACTACATTTTTTTTATAGAACCTTTCTCTTTCCGTTAGTTTAAAGTAAATACAGCGATAGGAAGGGATGACTTTTCCGCAAAACACTCTTAAGTTCAATGCTATATCTGTTACGGGATCGCTTCTCTACGTTGAGACGGTTCGTGCCAGAGATGGAAGGGTTCATCTTTCACTGATATGTGACTGCGTCTGCTTGTGTGCGAGAAACGTTAACATAAATATAAAACAGAAAAAAAAAATAAGGTTTTAAGTGTTTTGAAACAAACAACAGAGTATACTTTGTTTAAATATTTATCAGACTGTTTAAAGGAAAAGTACAAAAATTGTGTAAAAGGCTCGTCAACACATACCGATATCCATATTTTTTTTTTGGGGGGGGGGGGGGTTACAGGCATCCAATTAAATCAGAAATAGGGGTACAACTGCTGTTAAAATAGATCTATATTTTCTCAATACCAGGACTTTAGACTTTATTCAGGACTAGAGAGCCATTATAATTAGTATAGACAAAAGTGTCCGGTTTCTCCTTTTTATTAAACCTTACATTTTACTGTCGCCACAGAATAAAATCATAGAAGAATATTCCGATTTATTTTGCGCCTAGTAAAGCAGGAGTCGATAACTCCAGATCACGAGTATATTCTTTTTATCACTAGTATTAGACTGATCGTAACTTCACTTTCATTTTTCAAACGAAGAAAATTTAGAAACAACGTTTTCATTAAGAATGTAAATATAAATATATATAGAGAGAATTACCCGACATGCGTGTCTAAACTCAAATTCTGCTTCAAACGCTAATGTGCGTATACTTTAAAAGAAGCTTTTTATCTACGCAAGTCGTGGTTTATATGAAAGTGCTTAACGTTCTAACATATGAACTAATTATAATCGTAATAAACACATCCTAACAAGCATTTACTTATCACCATATTGTATTTTAGTAACTTTTCTATATTTCGATTTCATTAAATACCTTAAACTGAATGTGTTTTTTTTTTCTTGGGTAATGATTATTTATTCTAATTATAAAAAGTTTCCAAATATGAGGTCAGAACTAAGCAAATATTAGTGCTAAGTTATTTAAATCTGTCAAAAAGTGGGCGGGGTTGGCCTTATGGTAGATCTCTGGATTTCGGAGCTAGGGAGTAGTTTTCAAATCCGTGAGGTACCACAAACTATTCTCCTCACTTTAAGTTGAGGGTGAAGTAAAAAGAGTCAGTCAGTCACTTGAAGTGGATGGTTTGTGGTACTGTTGCTGACTGGTTGACTGGTCAGTAGCTCAAAATTAGAATGGCGGCAGGTAGCCTTGATAAATTAGCCGTAAATGCAAAATACAAATATTATTCCAAGCCAGGCACAACAAAAAACTAATATGAATTTAATCTTTTTTCTATTAGTTTCAGTACCTAGTTGTAACATATATATATATATATATATATAGAGAGAGAGGAGGGGGTGTTTCAGTTGGTCAAGCCTTTTCCCTACGATGCTTAAAGATCTTGTTGCAAGCGAAAAACTATTTTTTTAGCTTGTTATCATACGTAATTTAACGCTCGGAACAAAAGAAAATCATTTAAAGAAGCTTTCTAGTTTATTTTGCAGAACGTTGTCTGAAAAGTTGTCAAAATATTTAAATAAATACTTAAAACAATTTCAAGTATAATTCAAATAATGCAGAATGACTGATCTGATATGCTGACTAATACTTACGTGTTTCACATACATCTCAGTTAAAACAGTAATCCCACTCGGTAAGAATTATCAACAGTGGTTAAAATGAGATTCTGAGAGAGGTGGAACTCTCATTCATGATCCACTTTCACATTCCAATCAGAAGACCAGGAACACCAATGACTTGAATCCTCAAGAGGAATAGCTCCGTTTCGGACTGTTCCGCCCCAGTTTAACCCCTGGTTATTGAATGCACTGAAACCTAAGCGTATCTAAAATACACTATATGGCTGTAGTATCAAAAGCGAACCGCATGTGTTAATTTATACTTACAGTGTTGAACACATCTTTAAGAGCTTTAACTTTCAAGAATGCAAACAATGAGGGAGTAACTGTTAAAATACTGAGATTACAAATGTAATGTTTCACATTTACAACTGCTAAGATGTGGAAACGATCTAGGATGGTATTTGTGAACCTTGAAACAATATTACTGTTGTTGTTATTTTGAAATATCATGAAACTACGCACTTTATACAAAGTTAAATGTTTAACTTGCTTTGAAATGAAAAACGATGTATTCATGAAACCTGATCCGAACGAAATTCATTGATGATTTGATTGAATCGAAAATCCTTTCACCATTTAAACTAATTATGAGATGAATGAACAACGGAGGTCATGTAATTGGATGAAGATATAACTTTCTTTGAGAGTCAGTTTTTCTACACAAAGTGAGCGATTTATCACGTGATGACAAGTGACCTTGAAGAAACGTCACTTTCGTTCTTCGTGTCTCCTAACCAAGCTACTCTATTTGTTTATTATCAAACTATCATTACTGACATCGAATTATCACGAGGCATACAATTTATGCCAAACAGAGAACACGTCAGTCAAGAACAATGTTTATATCAAGAAAGGTCGTATTTCCTTTTACTAGTATGACACCATAATGATGGCTATAACGCAGCTATACCTGTAATGTTTATTTTGCAAGGGAAAATATTTTACATCCCAGAATTGACTCTGATAACTAGGATTTATGTTATTTGTTGAATTAATTGCAAAGTATAATTTCATATTTCATTTCAATTTTCACTTTGTGGTCTTCCCTCTAGTCTGTCACTTCTAAATCAAAGACGGCTAGCGCAGATAGCTTTCGAGTGGCTTTGCACGAAATTTCAAAAACAAACAAAAATTTTACTTAATCTTAATTTGAACAAAATATTTCTGGCTTCCTTGTATAAGTTAGCTCCAAGACTTGAACTCATACATCTCTCTAAATACTTTGTAATACAACTTATTTTTTATTACAGGGTGTTCGTAGTTCTCTTAGCAGTAAGCTTGTTGGTCAGTAATATACAAAACGATAAAAATTTCACGAGTTAAGCTGAGACTCGAGAAAGCGCTTGTAATAAAATTACTCAGAAAAGTTAGAAATTTCAATATATATATATATGTCTTTAGTTTTTGAATTTCTAGAACTTAACTGGATTTCCTATTCTTTAATGGGGGGAGGGGAGAGACACTCATATGTATACTGTTATAAGCTAGATTTTTAATGTTGTAATTTATTTGTTTGCTAGAGGAAGCTGCGGATCGTAATACTTATATCAATTTTGAAGAGTTTAATACGACAGACCTAGAAGAAATAGAAAGTTCTAAAAGATTTGACGTCAAATTTTCTAGTAAGTTCCAGGATAATTATAAATATGAGATAGTTGTGAAAATTGTAGAGTTGTTTCAAGATATTAGAATAGTTTTTAGCCAGTAGAGCAAATCAGTCAGTGTGATTTTTTTTCGTTTCAGCCACAAAGTGCTACAAGTAACTTTATTCTTTAGTTAGTGTGGCGCAATTAGCGTCATCTATAAATGTGGCCTACAGCTGTGTACAGTGAAGTCAAATTGTAAAAATGTTAAGAAATAAATAAACTAATTCACTATTGTTTAAGAAGAATAAACTTTTAGTTATTTGCACCGGATAATCTAAAATAATCTGCCAATGAAAGAAAAACGTTACAACAAACGCAGTTTAGAAGACTTGTTATAATATTTGGCGACAAAAACATATAGGAATCTTCACGTCAGATATTGATAGCATTGTTTTTTATGTTACTGAAATTACGCACATTAAATGACAAAAACAAAACAAGAAAGTACTCAGTTACAAGATATATAATATATAACTAACATACAAAACAACTTCGACTGTTCTTCAGTGTGCAATCTTGTTCATTTTAAATAGATTGACATATGTATATATATAAATCAAATAATATTATTATAATGAAATTTTCTTGCTGTTTTACAAAATAAAATAGACCATGCGCAACTACCTTTTGATAATTTCACCTAAATCCTCAATGGTTCCTCCTCTCCATTTTTTTTTCGGGATAAATATTTTTTTATTTTTCTTCTTACGTTTGAAATGCGTAGGTAACACAATACCTAATAACAGGTGTTTTAGTTGTATAAGATTAATACAATCTAGGAGTATTAAAACTACATCAAACCCATTACCTCTTGACGTTCTAATTAATTCATTTTATTGTGCTGGAATGATCACAATAACTGGAATGTTCTGCATTAAGTACATTTTGTTATAACATAACAAGTTATGGATTTATATTTCCTAATGTTTTTAGACGCAGTGATATAAATATATTTATTTATTTAACGGACTTCTTTAGTTCTTATTTAGGTATTTGTGTGATGTTAACCCTAGAATTACAGATGGGGTCCACGGTCTCCATCGGCTTTGTAAATACTTTATTC